GGATACGATCAAAAACCTACCAAACGAGAAAAACTGAAAAAGTTTTTTGGTTTTTCTTAAAAACAGCTTATTTTTTGAATAGAAGATGACGGAAATCTTCAAAAATTTTTGGAAAAAAAAGAAGTGTCAAGTAAAAATTTTTCTCATTTATGAGAGAATCTTCCTCTGCATTTATCTTAATTTCGGTCATTCTGACGAAAAGTGACCTTTTTTTTTGAGGCAGCCTTAATCTTCAAATATTGTACGTTCGATATTTTCATGATTCACAAAGGATGTGGGTGAGTGAGTGTGGATGTGGGGTGGGTATTGGTATGAAGAGGAGAATTACACCTACACCCATACCTACATCCACAGCCCATACCCACACCTCACACCATTACTGGCTAATCAAATTTCGATATAGGTTGATGGCTCGGGTTTTATTTCTTGAAAGGTGAAAACTGCAAGTGTCTATAATGTGCCTATTCAACGTTATTCAACAACACCGTACTGAAAAAAATGTATCATACGTAAGGTAAGAAAAATGTTCTGAATTTTGTAACGAAATCAACAGCTTTCTTAAGCTCCGTAAAAATAAGGTTTCGTGCAGAACCATTTTCACTTGGTTTTAAAAAAAGGTTTTTGAAATCCAAATCTCGCACGGATTCCAATGTAACCCCACTTAGATTATACCAGTTGATTGGTATATATCTATACTACTATATCTATACCCGTCTCCTCGTATGTACGCCTGTTCTCTTAAATCATCTAGGTCCCTGTCTTTATCTCTTAATCTAACTCCTTAATGCTACTGTTCAATCAATTCTCTTAGTCTATCTTTTCAGCCTATCTCTCGTAAATATTTACCTATTCACCTATACTTCTATCTATGTTCCTATATTTATATTAAAATGCCTTTGAAAGGGGTGTACCATTTACATTGATTTTATGTTAAGCATTGACCAATCACTTGATCATTAATATCAAATTTAAGTTTTTTCTGTTAAGATATAATTTACTTCATATTAACTGAATAAGTGATTTGTATGAGGATAATTGTGATCTAATCAATTTTTCTCGGTCACAGAAGATCTTTTTTCCGAAAATAACACTTTTTAAGAATAAAGTTTGACTAATATTATTGAAGTATATCGAAATGTGTTCAATATTTGAAATGAGATCAATCACACGAATTTGTTAATACAATTATTCTGGTTTATCCAAAGAAAATAATTCAACGCATCATTCATCGACTTCAACGATTTGGTATTATTCAAACAATGTTCGTTATAGATTCTGATAGAGATATAGATAATCATTTATTTTCAATAAGATATAATCGTCATGTTTTTAGGCTTTAAGAATCAATATTTCAAACTTTAGAAAAATGAATCTAGGAATAAAATTTGAATGATAGTTTATTTACAACTTTCTAACGAGATAAATTATGTATTTAAAGCTTAGTAGTTTGAAGGTCTTCATAAAAAGTTATTTATGTCATATATATAGTTCTGTTGACGAGTATATGTTGCTCAAATTGACGAATTTGAATGTAAATATGAATGAAACAATGCCTTCGTTGGTATATGAAGCTTGGATTCTTATTTTATCTCGTTAATAAAGCATTGTGTAATCAAGATATTTGGGTTGTTTATAAATTTCGTTATTTTATTATTGATTCATGGTATCGTTTGGAAGAAGTTTCCAGTTCACAATCTTTTTGATCAATTGGTCTTTATCATGGACAAAAAACTGAATTGAGATGAATTCGAAAAAATCCAAATTTGTTGTTTTCTATAAATTAATAGAATTCTTTCGTGCTTATCTGATCATAATATAACGTAAATATTTATTGCTATTGACCTAATAACTGATAGATTGTCATCTCACAATCAAGATGCATGGCAATAATTCGTATTATGTATCATTAATGTCGATCGTAGAACATCTACAAAATGAAAGTTGTCTAATAAATTTTGATCCTCTTCAATTGATATTACTTTTTTACACGTTTTTTTCATTAGAATAGTCTGTTATTTTGTAACATATTTACGAGACATCTAGATCTATTCTTCGCTATAATTGAAATATCCTATCTGTTATAGTCACAATGATATAAGTAAAATAAAACTAATTATTAGTTTGTTGTGTATCACTCTAGTATTCTGTCATTTGTTTATATGGTTATAAACAAGTTAGCATCGATTTTTTTAGATGATCAGAATAGTATACCTTGAATAATAGCTGTGATGAAAATTATTGAATGCCTACTTGACGAGTGTATTCATCTTGAAGTTAGTGATACATAATTTGCTGATATAGAATTTAGAGAAAAATTGACAGGATAATGATTTGAAAATGTATCAGAGTAGAAAAATCGAGTAAGGCAAATAATGGAAAGTATTTACCGTAACAAAATGCAAGGAAACTTATCGAGTCGATTGAAGCAAATGATAGATACATAAATATTGACCACATGGTTTCCTTGTTTTATTCAAATCTTTTATGCTATTGGTATCAGACAAGACATTGCGTTGATTTAAATAGTGTGAATTCTTTTACGAAAAAAATTTCTACTCGAAATGAAACATACTTTTCTTCTCGATTTATATGTTGTGGTATAAAACTAATTTTTGCCGATCGAACATAAATAATATTGTTAGCTTTCTTTTCGTTGAAAATAATAATGATTTTGATCAAATTATGATAATTATACGAACCTATCCGTATAATTATCTTTTTGTTTGAGAAAAACAAAAGTAAAGTTTGCGTTGATTTTTATGTTGATTGGATATGTATAAAAGGAGAAAGGAGATAAAAGTACATACGCTTATACTCTTCTTTATTTCTTTTCTAATGAAATCATTTTAAAGTAAATTTTATTATGCTTTTTGTATTCAAAAAAAAAATTATACGAATAAATTCTTCCGTTTTAAATTCTTTTAATAGGAAGTATGAGAAAACAAAGTCAAAAGAAAATGATATTGACTAACAACAAATGATATATTTTTGATAATTACATTACAGAGTATTAGAGATTAACTTTTGTCAACAAATTTTATCTTTTTTTATTCATTGATTTGATTAAAATAGCTTGAAATTAGTAATTAAGAGATTATATTCACTACAAGTAAAATTAATCGATCGACTTCGTATTTGTTATATCTTGATTTATCAATATTCACAGAAAATTAGCTTTTCTTGTGATGATCTCACGAAAATTTTCAATGTATATTGGATATATTGAAGTATTGTATGGAAGCTTTATTTTTATCATCATTGATAAATGCATCTGTACAAATGCTATCTAAAGTTGATATTTGATATTTTTCTTTATAGATTGGATTATAATTGACAGCTCTATATTCACCAACATCCCAGTCAAAAACAAGTTTTGCATCATTCAAACGACAAATTTTACGCTTTTTTTAGAGAAAATAAAAAGAAAATTTGATACGAAAGAACAAATAATTTACCTTAATAATACCATGATATTGTTCCTTAATAGCTACTTCTTCATGTTCTTCATCAGCACCTAAAAAACTCTGGTCATCTTTTGTGGCTGTTTGTTCAGCTTCCTTATAAAAATGCAGTATTTTTTTACGTAATACTTCCTTGTTTTGATGAATAAATAGTTGCAGCTTGTTCTTGTCGTCGTCGTAAAGCTTTAACTTCACGCTGTTCTTTAGTTACGAATTTGGGCTGAAAAAAAAAAGAAAAACAAAATCAATTAATGGATCATATCTAATAATTATTGACATAGATATTATTAGATGCTGAACTGGACATGTGTTGCTTATTATTGTCATTGAGAAAAAAGGACCATAGATAATGAGAGAACTACCTGAGTTGTGATTCGCCGTTTGAACTCATATTGAGTCCACAAGAATGAATTTTCGACCTGCAATACTGACCATAGATAGATCTGATAGCCCTTGAAATATCTTGAAAGTTTTAGCTGAAAAGAATATTCCTTTGTCGAAATATTTAGTTTTGCGACATGTCTGCAACAGAGAGCTATTTATTTGAAATTCAATATCTAGACGAATGAACATTTTTTACGACTAAAATTTTCAGGTTATTCCCAGAATTATTAGATCCATCTATGAGCTGAGAATTTTAGATCGAAAAGTCGATATTTGGTGTTCCAGTAAGTACCTGAAAATGAGTGAAAACTTAAGTAAAACAGTTAGTTATAGCGCGAATCCATAAGCCCATGGTCACGAGTTCTTTTAAGAGAGGGTTCGTGAGAGGACCTATCAATTTTATATGGAGCCGGTACCACTCAAAATTTGGATACTCGATTTAAAGATCTCAAACGATAGATCATCATTTGAAACCTCTAAATCCAAAATATGAGCTCTTTCTGACTTACCTGTGAAACATGGAAAAGCCCACAAGTAATCCCCCCCCCCCCTCAGACAGTTGATCAAACAGGGTGTGGGTGTGGGTGTGGGGTGTGGGTGTGGGTGTGGGGTGTGGGTGTGGGTGTGGGGTGTGGGTGTGGGCGTGGGGTGTGGGGGTGGGGGGGCGGAGTGGCGCGGCGGGCGGGAACCCCCACTC